GAAGGATCCACCTCGGGGATTACCAGGCTGGGGCATCACTGTTACCCAGAATGTTTCTGAACTGCCATCTCTCTCCCCTTTTGCCTACGACCAGTTCAACAGGTGAGTGTTTGGAAATGACATGCCCTCTTAATAGACACCCTAGCAAAATAGAAAAACTCAAACCAAACCCATTGCCATCAAGTTGATGCTGACTCATAGCGACCCTATAGGACACAGTTGAACTGCCACCCCCACCCCCGCCAGGGTTTCCAAGGCCGTAAATCTTTATGGAAGCAGATTGCCACATCCTTCTCCCACAGAGCAGCTGGTGGGTTCAACTGCCAACCTTTTAATTAGTAGCCAAGTGCTTAACTACTGCGCCACCAGGGTTCCTTGCAAAATAGAAACTGATGAAGAAATCTGCAGCTGCCTAATGCATTCCAAAAGCAAATGCAAAATGACTTGGAGATTATGCCAAATCATGGCTAGGACCAATTAGCAGGTGATAAGATCTGCACAGGTAAAAGCAAACTTGTGTTTAAAGTATAGTATAGTTTTCTAGAAAGAGACAGAATTTTGAAGACCTTTATTTCTTTAGGAAAATAAAAGAGCAGGAGACAAGGAAATCAATTAATCTTAACAAATGATTGGGATAAAACCAACGAAGAAAAAAAGTTCTAACGATAGTAAATACTTTTCAGAGATCTTCAAATTTATAATAAAATTAAATTCCAATTTTTGAAACCACAATAAAGTTAAAAATAATTTATCTAAGCGCCATCTAGAGGCAGCAGTAGGAATGGACCCCATGACCTGTGTACTAATTAACTAGGATATGTTGGAAGTAGTATTGCTAATTCCCGAAAAACATTTATTATCTAGTTTTAGTCTAACCTATTGAGCTGATCCTCAAGTACTTAGCAGAGTATTGGAAAAGAAAAACTGTCTTAAACGCTAAAGTGTCTTGAGATTTTCTGTGATGGGCAGGCATTAACGCTTACACTGATCCGAGGCTTGAACAAAGCTTTATGCCTCAGCTCTCCAGTGTCTGATATTGTTTCTTAAAGGAAAAAGCCAAATCCTGTTCTAGCCCAGAACAATACTTCTAAGGCTAACTTCCAAAGAGCACAGCGCTGCTCCTTATACTGTATTGCTGAAAGAAGATCCTCTTTAAAACTTGTTAGCCTCTACTTCTATAATAGGGTCCAAAGAAAAGTACACATCTTATGAATCCACAAAAGAACTCATCTTTCACTCATCTGGTGCTGGAGTTTCCTATAATACTCAAATGAAATAAGCATACATGCACACATCCAGTTTAGTCCAAAGTAAAGCAAAACACTTTTCTTTTTAAATCTCACCTAGGTTTGATTTAAAAAAGAAAAAAGAAAAAGTACAGTAAAAAGGAAAAAAATACCTTTGCAAATATAGTCTTGACATAAATTGGCAGGTCTCCATGGGGACTTCCATAACCCCCTACAATACTAAACCCCAATCCTTCAGAGCCTTTCTCCAAAGTAATAATCTTAGGTGGAGGTGTTCTGAAAACACAATGCACACCATTTAATTGAAGCATAGATATTGAGAAGGAATTTCATTTTAATGGAAGAACATAGATTTGAGAGAGACTTTCATACCGCAAAACTATGAAGGTCAATTTATGAACTCAAACTCTCAGCGGGCAATCTAGAAAGTTATTTTTTAACCTCCCATGCCATGCTGCCAACTAATGAAGAAGATCCTTGATATTTTAGGGGCTTCTCTTTCATAAAACCCACTGCTTTTGGATTAAAAATAAAGTCATGATGCTGAAATTGTCAAAGCACCCTTCTATTATATGCTTAGTTTTTAAACCTTAAACCGCCCATTTAAAACTAAATGAAACTATTTTTATATCCTTGTAGAATGTGCATGGAGACAAAGGGTAGGGTATCATGTAAGCTTAGTGGTCGATGGTCAGTCTTCAGGTGGACTTCTGCCCTGAACATGTTATGGCAGCCCAATAGCTGAGTACATTACTGCTCCTTTTCTGCCTGAATACACTTACCACGGCTCCCCCACAACTTCCACACATGGGGAAACTCACTCTTCCAAACCCACCTCCAATGTGATGCTTTCTTGACTCCTGAGGAGAGTTGGCCAATCCTCCTCTGGGTCCCTTTGTACTTGGTGCAAATTCCCATTATGACACTCACATCATATCATATTTAAAGACATTTAACTATCTTTCTGCCCCACCAGACTACACTCTCCTTAAGTCACAATCATCCAAGTATTCCCAGCAGTATGTGCTGTGCTCATCACAAATTCAGGATCATGACTGTGGTAAATGAGAACTGAAATCCAGGAGAGTAGAGAGAAACCAAAGTGAAGCCAAACAGATGAAGACAATCTATTTCAAATGTATCATTTCCTTTTTCAGAGCTTCGTCCAGTGTGGAAGTCTCTCTCAGAAACAACATGGCTAAAAATTAAATTGCCTACTTGGGCTCAAATACTTAATCTAAGATTAGCCAATGCTAATTTCTTATTCCCAAATGCTGTTGTCCCAAGGGTAAAAACCTAAAGGAACTCTGGTATCCCAGACTGTCCTCTCATTTGTAGTAGGAGGTTCACATTTGTTTACTGGCATCACTTGTTTTGTGGCAACATGCATGTCTGAGAGGCAGAGTCATCTGATAGAACTCTATCCTTCATATATTTAGAGAAATTTGCAAAATGGGGATATAAGCAACCTTTGAATATACTGTTCTGTCTGACTAGAATATGTTTGTCCTTCCCCCCACCCACCTCAATTTTGTTTGGCTTATTTTAGCGTTGATTTTCAGCCAGTACACGCTGAAATCAGCTGTTTGTTGATGTACTTACTGGTGGTTTACTGCAGGCATCTATATTAATTGCTGAATGTCTACACCATATAAATTGTTAACTGTTTTGAATACCACTCCTGCTTATTCCAATTATTTCAAAACTCAGCTTAAGCATTAGCTTTTCCACGCTTGCCCCCTAAGTTATGTCCCTCCTCCATGTTTTCATAGGACCCTATGCTTACTTATCTCTCCCATCGAACTTAGAGCTCTCATATGTTTATTGATTCTTTTACAACCATGGTTTTATAAGTCTGTTTTTCAAACTTTCTGGCAGTTCCTTGAGGACTGGGGCAATGCTGTTACCTATGCTTTGAATCCTCAGCTTCTAGCACTTGTACAGTGTCTGGCCTTAAAAAGGTGCTCAATAAATAGCTGCTGAAATATTTAATGATGAACTATCATCTCTGGCTGAATGGTAATGACCTCATGGATAAGGGCGCTACCTTTCACCACTTCCAGGCCATATAAATACTCTCGGACAGGAATTTGATTCATGTTTCCTCTTTAAAACACAGCCCCCATTTCCAAAGATATTGAAATGAGAACACAGACACCCAAAGCCGTTGTTTCAGAGTTAGCCCCTAACCAAAAAACCAAACCCACTGCCCGTTGACTCGATTCTGACTCATAGTAACCCTATCAGACAGGGTTACATGGGCGTATCTGTGTTTCCATAGGCACATCAAAGGGTGCTAAAAGTACATTCTCTTCCTATAAGAGTCCTAGTTTTTTTGTAATGGAAAAGGCCATTGTAATTTGAAAACGTTACACTTTTATGTATTTGTCATATTTTAATGGTGTGCATTTGATACTTTTATAATGAGAAAAAAGTAAAATGACCTTAATTTAACATTCTTACCTCAAGGAAAATAAAATCAAAAGACATCATTTAAGGTGATGAACTACCAGAAGAAAACGTGGGAATGGCTATGATCATGAGCGTCTTCAAATAAACCATTCAGCTCAGTTCAGCACTTATTCAACATTTATTGAGCACCTACTAATGACCAGTCACTTGGAACAAATTCCCATTATGACACTGGTGGTAGAGGAGGAATAAATCTAGGCAGCATTTCTCGAAGTTCGGGCCCTCTGCCTATCTGTAGCAGAATCACCCTACGGAACTTTTAAAATTAGATTTCTGGAATCCACTGTAGATCACCTAATCAGAATCTCGGAGAATGGGCCTGAGGAATTAGTATTTTAAAAAGTGTAGCTTAGATTATTCTTATGCACATTCTAGTTTGAGAGACACTACTTTAATGAGTTACTTTAACTGCAATGACTGGTTTTGATGAAGAATATTTGCAAGTATAACAATAAGATTTAATCTAAGAACAAAATTTTAGCTCAGAAAATTGATTCCTTGCATAATAAAGCAGGGTGCACCCGGGCTATAAATTCATGGTTTCTTAGGAAAGGAGGCATAGGCATGTGTTCGAGTGACCACAGTGTGTATGCAGGCCCTGCACAATGGTCTTTTAAGAATTTGTACAGTGGAAAAAAGCCTTGTGAGAAACAGGAAACCCTGGTGCCTTGTTGGAGGTGCTCTAGGAATTAGAAAAGGTAATGTACACTTTTCCCCTCCTCTCCTTTAGAGAGTACAGTCTAGAATATGGAAAAGGTCCCACTGAGCTTTGCCCATGCACTTCAGAGGCACTCTGCATCCAGAATACTCACTCTGTGTCTTCCAGATGGTGTTCAGCAGTGGGTGAACCAAAATGGTAGCCTGTAGACATGCTTTCAAGTTGAGTTGCTATGGTGCTTATATTGGTATCCGCTACAACCTGGGGGAAAGTTAGAACAAAATCATTCATCACAGAGAAACTATGCTATGTCCAACGGTCATTTCTCAGTCCTCACTTTATTCAATCTATCAGCAGCATTTGACACATGGATTACTCTCTTTCTTGAACTGTTTTCTTTATTTGGCTTCTATACTCCTTTCCACCTTTCTGTCTACTCCTTCACATCTCTAAAACTTCTAACAATCAGGGTGCTGTAGGGTGCAGTCCTTGAGCTTCTTATCTTTTCCATCTATACATATTCCCTCAGTTATCTCATCTCATGAATTAAATGCCATCCATGTGCTGAAAACTCCCAAATCTCTATCTCTAGCACTACCTCTTACCTAACTCCAGATCCATATATTCAATCGCCAACTCGATATCTCTACTTGGATGTCTAAAGAGTTTCTCAAACCTTACATGTCCACAACCGAGCCCCACCCTCTCTAACCTTTGCTCCTGTAGCCTTCCCAGCTCAGGTAATTGCAACTTGATTCTTCCAGTTTCAGCAAAAACCTTGGTGTCATCTTTGACTCCTCTCTTTCATAAGCTAAAAAATTCTGTTGGTCTATCTATAACATGTCTTGCCTCAAGTTTTACAATAGCTTCTTCACTGGTCTCTTTGCTTCAGTCCTACCCCACCCCCTGCAATCTATAGCACTATACCAGCTAGAATGGAAGCAGCCCTGGTGGCACAGTGGTTTAAGTGCTTGGCTCCTAACCAAAAGGTCAGCAGTTTGAACCCACCAGCCACTCTGTGGGAAAAAGATGTGGCAGTCTGCTTCTGTAAAGATTTACAGTCTTAGAAACCCTATAGGGCAGTTCTTCTCTGTCCTATAGGGTCACTATGAGCCAGAATTAACTTGATGGCAGTGGGTTGTTGGTTGAACTAGATAGAATGGTTCTGTTAAGCACATAGCGGATTATTTCATTCCTCTGCTTAAAACCATGCAAAAGAAAGCCAGCTACCTCAAAACACAAACTGAATTCCTTACTATGAACTACAAGCCCTATGTGATCTGTCCCATCACCTCTCTGGCCTCACCTCCTAACATTCTCCTTGTGTTCACTCTGTTCTAGACATGCTGGCCTCTGCTGTTTCTCTAATATGCCAAACATATCCCCCCCTCAGCATGTTGCAATTGCTGTTCCTTCTGCCTGGAACAGTCTTCATTCATCATCTCCATGGCTAGCTCCTTCACTTCCCTCAGGTCTTTACTCTAAAGTCATCCTCCCAGGCCACTCTAAAACTTCTACAACAACCCTCCAGCCCAACACTTCCTAGCCTCCCCCTTCTCTGCTTTAGGGGCCCTGGTGGCACAGTGGTTAAAGCTCTCGGCTGGTAACCAAAAAGTCAGTGGTTCAAACCCATCAGCCACTCAGTGGGAGAAAGATGTGGCAGTCTGCTTCTGTAAAGATTACAGCCTTGGAAACCCTATGGGGCAGTTCTACTCTGTCCTATATATAGGGTAGCTATCGGCCAGAATTGACTTGACAGCAGTGGGTTTTTGGGTTTCCCTGCTTTATGTTTCCCTGCTTACTATTCTTGCCATCTAATGAACTGTATATATTTTATCTAATTTATCTTTTTTATTGTGCACTACCTCATAGTAGAATGTGAGGGCAGGAAGTTGGTGTTTTGTTCTTTACCATATCCCCATCCCATAGAACAGTGTCTGAAACACACTACACGCTCAATACATATTTGTTGAATGAAAGAATAAGTGAGTATCTCTGGCTCCCTGAGGTTTGCCTTTTATATGGTCCTGAACAAAACTATAATAGGATAATGACATTTAAAGGCACTTTGTATTCTGCAAAGCAGAAATCTGTCTTCTGCAAAGCATTCAGAAGAAATCTGGTATAGCTAGCATAGAGCCTATTCTAGAAATCAGAACGGAGTTCTAAAGTTCAGTGTACGCCACTTAAATGACACTGTGCCTGTGTTTCAGCTTCCTCATCTGTTAAATGGAAACCATAAAAGCCTGCCATGCCTGCTTACCCTGGAGTTGTCTTCCATATCAATTAGTTACCAGTTTCTTCCTCAAAAGCTCCTGGGCTCCCCCTGCTTCTGTTCAATGGTCCTGCTTCTAGGTTATAATATTTGTTGCACAAGTAGAGTGAGGGGACTTTTCCTGACAGCAGAGCAAAGGGGCTTGATTTGGTTGCAATTTCAGATTAAGCCAACAGAGGGCGCGGCTGCCTAAATCGCTAAACTGCAGCTGCTAAGTATTTAGAACAAGGGAGGTGACAGGCCTGCCCTTGCTGGGTCAGAACACATTTTGGGTAAAGCATCCTATTCTGGGCAGATCATTGCTATGTTAAAGCAAGTTATAGGATCTTCTGGAAATATCATCATACGAAGAATGACTGAACGAATTGGGGGATATTTAGTATAAAAGACTTAAGGAGGAAATGACAGAGTCCCCGGGCCACCAAAGACCCCCGATTATCACCAACTCTTTCTGCTGTCCTGCACTGCAAGTGTATCTTAAGAGTTGTCTTTATACACAGTCTCTGTAATGTCACCTACTCTTCATGTACGTCTTTACAACCCACTCCATCCCAACTTCTGTCCCCATCCATCAGCCCAAACCTCCTTGACCCACACACTCTTCTGGCTTGCCTCCTGCTGCTCAGACCGCTTTTCCATCTCCATTGCTACTCTTCTGCTACCTCTCGGCTCTGTCCTGTGCCCTCTGCCTATGTACACACTCAGGCTCTAGGTGACAGCACACACATTCCCACAGCTTTAAATGCCAACAGAATGCTGACAATTCCCAGCCTAGTCTGCTATACCAAATTGCCAACTTGACATTTGCATTTTAATATCTCAAAGGCTTATCCAAATTAACACAACCAAATCCAAACCCTTAATCCAACCACCTATTCCCCTCAATTCACTTTTCCTCATTTTAGTGAACGGCACATTCAGCTGCCCATATTAGAAATCTATTTGGTATAATACTGACAGTGGACAGTATTGCTGGCTGGTGACTGTCCACTTGGGAAGAATGCTAGGATGCTAGCCATAGAAGCTGCCTACCCTCTGAGTATCAGCCCGACACCTGCGTCAACCTGAGGACTCCCTCTCTCACCTGCCATCTGCAATCCATTACCAAATCCTCTGGATTTTACCTCCAAAACACTTCTCAAATCTGTTCATTTTTTACCTGTATAGCGACCGACTTAGTTCATCTTCACCAATT